ATTTTCGTACTGGTACTATAAGGAAACCCACCTTGATTTCCTTTGGTGGTTCAAGGCAGTCAAAGGTTACCTGGATCAAGCCTGAATACACTTCCTTTGTGCATCCACCAACTTCAGTTCTTTTTTTAAATCGCCAGATTTTAAAACGTTATTTTTTTCCTTGAGCCCCTGGAGTACTTCGTCATCGGACATAAAGATTAAATATCTACAGAAGAAAGTTCCCCTGCAGGTGTTGAGACCTTCATTATATTCTGCTGTGATTGGTATGTCGCCTAACTTGTCCAGTTTTATTAACTTTTCTCCGATAATTTTGTTTGGCACCTCGATCACAAGATTTCCCTCCCTGTTGAAGGTGGGCTTTGCCAAATTGCTAACACCTTGAATTAATTTAGTTACAAGGAAGATTTTGTATGTTCTGATGGGTCGTTTTTCGTCTTGGGTCTTCACGGTAATGTACCTTATTAACTCGCTTGATTTACAGCTCGAGTTCATGCCCAGTACGGGGAAATTCAGAAAATCATTTGTGATTTCCTGTCTGGATTTTCGTTTCTTTCTGAAAATACCCGCCTCGTCACCCTCAAGTGAACGAAGGAGCTCGAACCTATTTTGTGTGCCCATGGGGTACACCACCACGTCTACTACAGTCCTTTTTTAAAGTTGTTTTCAAACACACAAGAACAAAATTTTATATTATAGTAAAAACGGACAATGTTTTAGTTTAAAAGTCGTTTCCAATTGAAATTTTATTCCCAAATTAGACATTGTCAAAAAGTTTGAAACCGATTTTGACGTTGTCAAAAAAAAATTTTTGTCGAACACATCTTTTTCAAGAGTTCAGTGTTGAACACACCTATATTTCAAATTTTGTATTGAACGTATCTTAAATTATAAATAATGATTGTTTTTATATTTTTTGTTCAAAATGTTTTTGATTTTGTTTTTTTTTTTAGATTAAAACACTAATACGACAATGTTTTTCATAAATCACTATTATTTAGGTAAAGTTTTAATTGTTTTTAAATGTTGTGGCACTTTTTATAATTTTTTATTTAAAATTAGTAAAATTTTTGTAAGTTACCAGCACGGTGGTGACCGCCGCCGCGGCACAATTATATTCAATACAAATTTGCACTATGCCAGGGATTTTTGCCTGTGACATAAAATTAAATATTAACCGCCCGGTTGAGAGTTGTTGTTTTGTGAGTAATTAAAACTGTAGTTTTAATAAACGATAGACTGCCATATATTCTTAAAGTTTTTAGAGAATCTCTCAACTGGCTTAACAATTTTTTGTTAGCTTCCTTACAAAGCCAAAACCTTATTTTTAATACGTTTTCAGAAAAATAGTAAAGTAAAATACTTCGCCATTGTGTGTACAATTATAAACTTGACATATAGCCGTCGAATGGTATGACGGGTTCAGGCAACTGTCACAAAACCATGAAAACTAATTTTAAATATTTCAAAAACAAGTTTTTGCATTCAAATTGTAAAGACGGCATTGTATAATTGTTTCGGTTTAAATCGACGGAAATGTTTTTACTTATTTGAAATTTCATTAACGTGCAACCGGTTAAAAACATAAATATTGTAAATTTTATACCGTATTTATATACCGAGATGTAAAAAAATATATATTTAAATTTTTTTTTATATTAAGTGATATATTTTCTTGTCCTATAATTATTTTAATTTTTTTTTTAATTTATAAAATGTAAATTTACATTTATGCATGTGTAAGAAAATAAAATGTGTTGAGTTTAATATAAAATTAATCCTATTAATTAAAGAAAAACAAAATAAAAAAAAAGGTAAATCAAAAATTTAAAAAAAAATTATTTATATAAAAAAAATTTTAGCATGTAAATTTAAAAAATAAAAATATATTCTTCATGTAATACATAAATATACATGCATATACTTATAAGTTTAAATTTTATTTAATAACTACACATACATATATACATTATATTCATAAGTGTGTATTTAAAGATTCATAAGTGTGTATTTAAAAAAATTTGAAATTTTTTTTTTTTAAATTAAGTTAATTAGAATATTTAATCTTGTTGTTTTTTAATTATAAAATTACATATATATGAATTATAAGTAATATATATGAATAATAAATAATCTGTATGTTTATGTATATAAGAATGTTTTTTTATATTATAAAAATAGAAAAGAAAAAAAAATATATTTTATATATTAATAATTATATAAAAAAGGACTTCATTTATTATTAAAGATATTTAGTTGATTGATTATAATAAAGTAATTTTTAAATAAACGAAAAAGTAAAAAAGAATGAGTTAGAGTAAAATACGAAACCTATGTAAATAAAAGAAAAGTAAAAATATAATTGGATTCAATTTATCATATCTTTTTATTTTACGTAAAACATATTAAGTATAACAAAAATTAAAACAGCAACAAAAAAGAACAAAAATAAAATGACGGTGTTTTATATTAATATTATAAAAAAGCTAAAAACGAAACTAAAATATATTTGTATACAAAGATCTTATTAATTATTTTAAAAAAAATAAATTATTACTATATTTTTGTATAAAACAAATAAACAAAAGAATTGAAATTTGAAAAAAACCAACAAAATTAACACATATTTAAAAATGAAAATTAGAAAAAAATATAACAAAATATTTTTTTGGAATTTAATTATTAAAGAAAATAAATAAAAAAAACTATATATATATATATTAAATGGTATGTACAATGATTCTTTTTATATATATACAAAAATGGGAAAAAATTAAATAAATTATTTTTTTAAATGCCTCTTATTTCAAGGACCCCTCACTCCCGCCCTATCCCGCCTCTTTTAATTTGATTATTGTTTTTTTTTTATGCGATACCATTCATTATACTAGTAAATGGAGGTTGTTTATATTTTATATAATATAAAAAGAAAGCAAAAAACAAAAAAATATTTGAAAGAGAAAAAGAAAAAAAATGTATTAATTAATAACTATATTATAATACTGTATGTAATAATATTAAAATGATTAAATAAAATAATTTATATAAAAAAAAAAAACATTTTTATATTTCTTTTATTTCAAAATAACAAGAGATTTTCACAAAAACTAATTAGTTAGAATTTGGCGTTCTTAATCTGCTGAATATATACCTTAGTAACTAAAAAAAACTAGTTTTTCAACAGCCATCGTTTTTGATAATAGCAAAATATAAAATAGTTTTTTTTTCATGTAGCAATAAAACATAAGCAAATAAATTGAAATGTCTTCTAGTTCAATTACCGCAGCTTGTATTTAAACTTTAGAAAAATTTTGGTTAAAAAAAAAGTAATTTATTTAATCATACAGAATTTTATGAATCAGTATATTCAATTTGTGTGAATCATTTTTCTCTTTTGATCATCCCAGATGTATGCATTCAAGTGATATATTTTAGTACTAACTTTATTATTTTTTCACCACATTTAAGTAAATTTTCACTTAATGTGGTAGATAAAAAATAGTGATATGATTTAAATTTGTTATTTTATTGTGAATTGGGTGTAAACTTAAATGATTTCTGATAATAAATTTAAAATAACAGACTACATACATTTATCCAAAAAGAAAACCAAAATGCTGAAATATTAATATGAAGAAATAAATACATACATCATAGTGGACAGTTTTTAAAATAAAAATTTTTCAAATATATAGTATATAAAAGACACCAACATATTTTGTGTATTCATACAAGCTAAATGTGTTTAGAATAAAATTCTACAGTGAATATTATTGTTTCTTTTATATATCTACTGTAATATAGATGTCTCTGATTTTATATAAAAAATATAATAATTGTAATATAGATGTCTCTGATTTTATATAAAAAGATAATTATTATATTATAGACTCCAGCCAATTTTGTTATTATTTTTTTTTATCATATACATCATAGTGGACAGTTTTTAAAATAAAAATTTTTCAAATATATAGTATATAAAATACACCAACATATTTTGTATATTCATACAAGCTAAATGTGTTTAGAATAAAATTCTACAGTGAATATTATTGTTTCTTTTATATATCTACTGTAATATAGATGTCTCTGATTTTATATAAAAATATAATAATTTTAATATAGATGTCTCTGATTTTATATAAAAATATAATAATTTTAATATAGATGTCTCTGATTTTATATAAAAAGATAATTAGCATATTATAGACTCCAGCCAATTTTGTTATTATTCTTTTTACTATGTCTATGACAACATTTTAAGGAGGATATAATTTTTAATATAGCTACTGCAAAATAGATGTCACTGCTTAAAATTCAATATAAAGTATAAATTTTTCTTAAAGATATAATTATAAAATAGCTGAGTTCATTTCTTTTCAAAAAGCAATAAGGACATGCATTCTCATCATTCTTATTTAACAACATTATGCTAACGTTACTGAAATGTTGTAGGTAAAACAAGCGAAAAGAAAAAAAGAGAAAAAAAAAAACATAGTATTACGAAATGATTGTTTTTTCTTCTTGTTCTTTACAAATAGTATTACTTGCATTATGCACGTGTTCTTTACTGTTGTATCAATAAATTTTTTATTAAATGCACATGTTTTCTTTAGTTGTTATGCATATACAATTATTATGTGTCACCTGAAAGCTTATTTATTGTACATAATCTAAAATACATGTGTAACTATTACATTGAAAAAAAATCTATATATATGTACATATATATATACATCCGAAATTATTATAAAAATTGTAACTATAATAGTTAATCGGTAGATACTTGGGTATTTAGACATTTTATAACATTTTTACTAATATGTCATTACATGTAATGATATCAAATACAAAAAAATAAAATTCGAAATACATACATATGTACATATATGATTGCGCATCTATTATCATTCTACATACATTTTATATGAACGGGATACATAAATTTTTATAATTGTGTTTTTATATTTGAATTACGAAAAGTAATTAATAGAAATTTAAGTGGGAAATTCGACACGTGAGCTCAGCTTAAGAATAATTTGAGATTGCAAAAGAATTTTAGGGTAAAAAAAGCAAAAATTAGTTCTTGAATTAGATTACTTTTCTTGGCTTTTTTTACATTAATTTTGTTGTTGTTGTTTTTGCTGCTGTTGTGTTGTTGTTCTTTATTTATTTTAGTTATTGTTTTTATTTAGTATTAGTACTATTATATATATATATGTTTTGTTTTTGCTGCTGTTGTTGTTGCTTTTGCTGCTCTTAATGTTGTTGTTGTTTATTTATTTTGATTATTGTTTTTATTAAGTATAAATACTATTATATATATGTTTCTTTTTTAATTTAACAAATTAAATCACTTTTTTTAAAACTTTTTATTAAACTTAATACATATTTTGTCATAAACACTTATTTATCTAAAATTTTATTTTGGTACTAAGTCGGTTATCTTTTTTCAATTATGTACTTAATTAAGGTCCTCCTAAACTTTTTTATATAATTGTTACTTTCTAAAGTAAAGAGCAGATTATTTAACAATTTAAGATCGTTATGCAGTAACATATTTTGTGTTTTAGTTTTGTTAGACAAATTTAATCCCAAATAAAAATATTTCTTAAACAGTAATTGTGTACATTTTCGACATAAATTTATCTGTTTGTTAAATATTTTGGTAGCATTTTATGTTTTATTTTAAAAATAATTTATATTTACATGATTACTAATACTTATTAATTAAAACAACTGCATGTTGTATTAGTAAGTCAGTATATTAGTGTAATAGGCACAATACCTATTTATACATGTTCTTAAGATTGTGTGTTTCAAATGAAAAATTGCACGTAGCATCTGAATGTAAACAATACTTATTAATTATGTGGATTACAGTATAAAGCAATGTGAAGAACAATTCGTCGGCAATTTCTCCATACATCTGTAGCTCAGTTGGTAGAACGACCTAGAAAGTGGTAGAATACTGGTTCGGGTCCTGTTCGAGAAGAAAAATTTTTTAATTTTTCTGTCTTTACTCATTCCTTTGATTACGTCACCCATCTGCTCTGCAGTTGTATGAAAAAATTTCCATCGAGTTGATATTTTAAGAACTTTAATTCTTTATCTTCATTTCTATAATTTTCATTCTCTTTAACAATTGTGACTATTGTTTCATAATCGCTTATATTTAAATTATTATCTACTTTAGCCTTGATATTATATTTGTAATTTACTACATAACATAGTTTGTGAGTGACTTAGAGTTTTTTACTTTTCTAGTATGTTCATTTATAACTTGCTATTGTTGTTGCTGTAATTATTGTTGAATTAAAATATAAAATAGATGAAATTGATGATCGAAAAATGACTTAAACACATGAAAAAAGATATTTATGTCAACACAATTGTTTAATTTGATTAGATAAATAATGAAAAAATTAGAAATATGCGTCTTTGCCTAAAATTTTCATTTTTTTAACATAATAATTTTAAAAAAAATGTTATAAAAAAATATATGGTTATATGCACCTCCTTTTTATAATAATTTTTATTTTTTATCTATTGCAGATGTTTTAAGAGAAAAAATAATGGTGGCGGAGTTTGTCGCCCGCCAACATCATTCTAGTTCCCCTGTTAACGGAGAAACACCAGCTCAAAATTATTCTAATACACCGTTATCATTTCATAACAGTTTGAAAGGAACACCATTTATTAATAGTGGTAATAGTAATACTTCATCATCATCACCAACACACAATACAAATAACAATAAAAGTAATAGTAATAATAATTTAAATAACAGTGACTCAGGAATAATATCAAATATGCGTATGACACATTCACCAGCGTTATCAATTAATGGTAACTCAAATGGATCAAATTCAGGTAAATTTTTTAGAAAGATATAAAAATTTTACAAATAAAAAGAGGGTTTTTTTGTTAATGTAAATGGAATTTAGAGCTACGTAATTATGTTAGAGTAAGGTTTCCTCACATAGAGTACATTTGATATTTTTAGGATGTGGAATGAATTACTAGAGATGATCCCAGCACACCTTCTTTCAAACGTTGATCCATGACGGGAGGAAGGTTGTGCGGTTTTATATCCGCGTTGGGTGGGAGAGGGTGCCTTGCGGAGTCTCGCACTGATTCGTGTTAAAAGGATGTTTGGTCTTGAAAGATTTCATTAGCAAATGCCTTAAATTACATCGGTACAGTTACCCCAATTCACAAAACTACAAACTAGGATATGAAAATGGGAGGGAAAAGATGGTAAAAGAGTTTGTCGGAAATTCTTTTAAGAGTATTAGAAATTACATTGGAATCCTCGGAAGAGGATCGGTACAGTCACTCCAATTGACAAAACTACAAACAAGGATATAAAAATGGGAGGGAAAAGAAAGTAAAAGGGTTTGTCGAAAGTTCTCTTAAGGGTATTAGAAATGAGGTTGGAATTACATAATCTATTTGCAAATAATTGATCATATCTTATGCATATTTAATTAATTTTATTTTTTTTTTTAATTTCTAATTTTTGTTGTAAAATTAAGGACATGGATTATTATTACCGAGATCACCTATGTCTCCTATGTCACCACAACATGATAGCTATTCACAAAGTAATTATGAAATGAATCAATTAAAACGTAAAGATTTATTTACGCAACGTAAACAACGGGAATTTATACCAGATAATAAAAAAGATGAGAGCTATTGGGATAGAAGACGTCGTAATAATGAAGCAGCAAAACGTTCACGTGAAAAAAGACGTTTTAATGATATGGTATTAGAACAACGTGTTGTTGAGTTAACAAAAGAGAATCATGTTCTTAAAGCTCAATTGGATGCCATTAGAGATAAATTTAATATATGTGGTGAAAAATTAGTTAGCGTTGACCAAATATTAGCAACATTACCAACAAGTGAACAAGTTTTAAGTATTACAAAACGTGCTAAAATATCAAATACAGTACCACCAACAATTATTTATCCATTATCATCAAGTCCAATTTTAACATCTGTTATACAACCATCATTACAAACAAATTCTTTAATAGATAGTAATAGTAATAATAATAATAATAATAATAATAATAATAATAATAATAATAATAATAATAATAATAATAATAATAATAATAATAATAACAATAATAATAATAATAATAACAATAATAATAATATTAATAATAATAATAATAATAATAATAATAGTGGAAGAGATAGTAACATTCCAATTGGTAGCTCGATAACAGCAACAACATCATCTTTATTAAATCATACTACAAATATATTATCTTCCTCATCTTCATCGTCATCCTCTTCTTCTTCATCATCATCTTTATCAACAGCTTTACAAAATCAACCAACATCATCTCAACTAAATTCACCTATTGGTTATATATCATCACGTTCTTATTCAACAAGTACAACAATAAATCAAAAGAATTTAAATAATAGTAATTCAACTTCACCTGGACTACAGCAACAACAACATTCAAATCAACCACATCCACTGCAACAACATCAAAGTATACTATCTTGTGACAGTACTTCTTCAACAAGTTATTCTCATCATCATAATAATAATAAAAATAAAGTAATATATCATCAGCAACAGCAATTACAATCAAATCATCATCATTTTCATCATACTAATTGTAATCATCATGATGATAATATCTGTCATCATATATATAATAATAATAGTAACAACAACAATAATAATGGAAATCAAAATAATTCTAATTCATCATCGAATATTAGTGGACGTTTGGAACGTAATAGTTTTCATCACCGTCCAATATTTGATCAAAGAAATGAAAATTCAAATAATAACAGCATTAACAGCAGTAGTAATAATGGCAATTTATCTTCTGCTCCAACACCATCATCCACATCGCCATATGATCATCATTCTATATTTTCACATACAAATCATCATCATTTGTCTGGACATTTACCATTCTCTGGTAATAATACAACAAATTCTGGTACTATAATTAATCCAAATAATATTTTATTATCAAATGATCAAATTGATATACCAACTGGATCAACATCATCAATATTAAATCGTGCGATGTCATCGCCGAAATTAATAATTAAAAATAATTTAAATAATGGTACTTTAATTAGTTGTAATAATAACAGCTCTGCAACACCTTCATTATCTTCGCCATCATCATCATCGTCAACTGCATCAACAAGAGAAATAAGAAATAATGGTA